TATTTCTGACACTTTCTCGGCATTACAAGGAGTACTCTAGGGGAACAACTAGTGTACAGTCTTACAGAAATAGATTGATATAACCACATGGAAACCAGTTACTTGCAGTCAATATAATATTCCCTTAATGATGTTAAACAGTCGTGTAGATTCCAAGTTTAATGTAAAAATCCCATCTTCGAACAACCGTAGTTATCTACTGATTAAGTTGCCAGAGGGGAAATTTATTTTTTCATCATATGTAAGTCCTTGAGAAATATATTAGAGAAATATATTACTTGGAGCTAAATAAAATACTTGTGGGTTTTTTTTTCTTTCTTTTTTTTTTTTTTCTTTTTCTTTTTTTTTTCTTCATTATAGTCTGTTATTATTTAGGGGATGTTAAAGTAAGACAATGGCCAACAGCAATCACTTCAAAGCACTCGTGGAAGATGGAAGCATGGAGTTCTGTGAAGTAGGGCACTGAGGGATGCTCTTTGTGGTGGTGATGTGGCAGGTACCACCGTCATGTAAATTCAGTGATTGTTTTACAGGGCAAACAACATCCCATACAGCACTTTGATAGTCTGGCTGGCAGCACCTTGGAGAGCCAGCCCAAGTTCCTGCCCTGCCTCTTGCACACGGGCTTCAAATGCAGATGGGCACTTCGGGAAAAGATGCTCATCAACTCAGAATGAGGCTTTTTATTTCCTGAAATGCAATACTGTTATTGGTAGTCTTCATACAACAAAGAGTGGGCATCCTGGGTTATCAGTGCAGTTTTTTAATTTGTCTGGAGCTGTGGCTGGCACAAAATGTAGTGCTGGGCATCCAGCACTGCTGGTATGTTCCAGGCTGGATGGCAGAAAGCAGGGCTGGAGCTCTGGAGGTTTAAAGCCCTTTATCAAGATCAGAGATGTGCAGCCATGACTTAACACCCATGAGAGCTGCACTGAATTGCCAGCACATTCCTGATGTCAACACTGTTGGAAAACACTATGCATCTTTCACTGAAGTGTGTTTGAATAATGCTGAGCTTTCTTTCTTCAGCCACTGAAGGAAGCCCTCGCGTGTGTTAATATTCTGCTGATAAGTGGAGAGATTCGTTGTACATAACATTTGCTCTGATTCCTGAGAGTCATTCCCAAACTACCCTGTTAGCCCCAGAAGTGGCACTGATATGAGTGCCCCACTCATACCCTCTGAGGATGAACCTCAGAGACCTAGGTTGGATATTAGGAAAAATTTCTTCTCAGAAGGAATGGTGATGCACTGGAATGGGCTGCCCAGGGAGGTGGTGGAGTTACTGTCATTGGAGGTGTTCATGAAAAGAGTAGATGTGCCACTGAGGGACATGGTTAGTGGGCATGGCGGGGATGGGCTGATGGTTGGACTGGATGATCTTAGTGGTCTTTTTCCACCTTAGTGATTCTATGACTCCTTTGTTTCACTTTGGGAGAGAAAGGGAACATGGTGATTCCAGTATTTGGTGGGAAGAAGTATCAGCATGGGGGTTCTTACATTGCCCTTTAGCTAGAGGAATGTTACTGATTTTCCAACTGCTATTTTTCAATGCCCGGTGACATCTCTTCATGCATCCTCACTGACAGATGGGAGGTTATAGTCAATGAGTGACACTCCTGTATCTCACCCTTACATCTCACCTCCACTAGCACCAGGAGTGCTGCAGGTGGGTGCCCGAGCACGCAAAGGTTCTCCCACCCACCCTCCCATGCTCACCTGTGACACGTTTGTTATCTCACTTGTGAGTGATGATAATGAGGTTTCAGCTGCCTTTTGGTGCAGAAATGTGCACTGCTACAGTGCAGTTGGTTCAGCTCCCGCAGCCGTGCCACTGAAAGGCTATCGATTCAGGCTTTCACATTTTTAAAAGGTCACAGCAATAATTCTATCTGAATTGTGCTAAGTGAAAATAGTTTGTAGAGGTAATAGACTCCTGCTCAGTTCCAGTGTAAACAAAAGCCATTGTTTTTTATTACTGTTTTTTTTTTTTTTTTTTGTATATTTTAATTACATGGATTTGCCTTGCTCTCACATTGGGTCAGTGAACTATGTGTGAAGTTGCAAGGCAAGTGACCTTCAGTGTTTTGTGGCTCTTGGTTTTATGCAGAGATGTTTTATTTTTCTATTATGTAAGATGTGCTGGAAGCGCTTACCATAATATGGTGCTCACATTAAAAATTAAAAACACAAAAATAAAAATTACCTTTTTTTCCTTGCCCTGTCATATATCCATCTGTTTTAATAAGACAAAAATATCTACAGCTCTAGAAATGTGGTGTTATATGTGCTCGCCTTTTGTAAAATATCATTGTAGTTAAACAAACAGCCTCCTCTGGCATGACTAGGAACAGATTGTTCCCAACAGCTCGTTTGATGAACAGGCTATATAATGCAATGAGTTAACTTACTGCAATGCATAGTTACTGCAGCCCGAGTGCCCTAGAAAGATGACAGAAAACCGTGGATGCTATGGCATCAATTATTTCAATAGCTGTGCTGCAATTAGTGATTTTGTATTCTGTCTGGTTTATGGGACTCACAAGCAGGTCACAAAGGAGAAAGAGAAGGTTAAATTTTATGCACAGAGTGAGCATTTTTATTTTCCTTAGATTTTTTTTTCCCTGTGTTGGCTTTGTTTTAAATCATTTTACTGTGTCAATCCTGTGAACACCAACAGAGCTCTTGGGAGCTTTCCAACTCAGCTGAATGGCTTTGCATGAGGCTGCAGAAGAGCAGAGAAGTGCCATGCATGGGGACCTGTTCTTTCCACCTCACACCATGGGCTTTGGGCTGATACCCAGTGTCTGGGAGGACATGGGGAAAGATCTCCTTCCTGAACCGCTGTAGCATTAATGGTAAGTGGCATGCGTAGAGGTGGAAGCTTAAATGTACTTTGTTTCCATGTGCATCTATTGAGTCTCACTGCAGTTGCCATCACTCACTCCACAACTGGATGTTAATTTACTTTAATACTCGGGTCTGTAGCATGTGGAGCTGATAAATAGTGAGAAAGTATGTGATGGCTTATCTAACCTTCTTCATATAGATGAAACACTACAGGTCTGAAATCCATTCGTGCTCCCTGAACACAATGCCTTATTCTGGTTTTCTATTCATACTGTTGTAAATTTGTCAGCCTAATGGGACACTTTGTAAGACGTTTTCCTTTTTAAGTGCTTTAATGGGAGTAGGTATTACATTGATCCAAAATCTAGCCTAGCATTTCATATTGTGGAGTCTGGAATTGCATTGTTATCTGCATAAAAGTTAAGTGGTGCTTTGTTCTTCCCCTTATTTTAAGCTGAATTTTGCGAACCTGAAACTCAGCCTGCCACGTACATATGGAATAAAATAAGCACTCGGTTTGGCCACCAAATTCTGAAGATGCACTCTATTATTGCTTGGTACCAGCATAAGTGGAGGTGGCAAGCATGCAGTGCACACAGCCAAAGCCACATCTCTTTCCTCTCTTTCCCTGCAGTGAGAGGGCAGCGGTTGCAAAATAGCCATGCCAGAACAGACCCAGATGCAGAGTCCAGGGACCTGGCCATGGGGACAATGACAGGATGACACTGGTGCAGACACTGAATCATAGAATCATTAAGGTTGAAAAAGACCACTAAGATCATCCAGTCCAATTGTCCACCTGCCCACTGAACCATGTTCCTAAGTGCTATGTCTACACATTTCTTGAACGCTTTCAGGGATGGTGACTCCACCACCTCCCTCGGCAGACTATTCTAGTGAGCAATCACTCTTTTTGAGAAGTTTTTCCTACTGTCCAACCTGAACCTCCCCTTGTGCAACTTCAGGCCATTCCCTCTTGTTGCTGTTACATGGGAGAAGAGGCTGACTCCCACCTTGCTACACTCCTTTCAGGGAGTTGTAGAGAGCAGTGAAATCTCCCTGAGCCTTCTTTTCTTCAGACTGAGCAATCCCAGCCAGAAAAGTTTGTCTTGGAAGAGCGAGAAGCAGATGGACAAAAGAAACCAGTCGATAAATGGACCAGTTATTGACCCACACCACTGCTTATTGACTCTCTTCACTGTCCTCTGTGTTCCCCCATGTGCTGGTTCCTCGGTACAGGACTGCCTTCATTCCAGCAGAAGCTATCAGTCTGTGATGTTGTTTATAACGGGGAGAAAAAGTCAACACCAGAAATCTTTCCTTTACCATGTAACCTTTGAGATTTATCACGGTGTTGTTTCTCCGAGGGCTGACAGTAAGGTGACAGGAGGAGCTGTCTCATGGCTTCTTTTTTTGTTTATTGGCTCCCAGTGTATGAGAAAGCACTATAAATAATACTCCCTGATGCGGACGGGTGCAATTGTTAAAGGCACTTAACCTGCTGGCTGCAGCTGTCTTCTGAGGCAGTATTCTCCCTCCCTGGTCACTCTGGGGGCAGCGGTGCTGGCGGAGGAGAGGCAGCAGAAGTTTGGAGCATGTTGGTTGTGTACTTGGTGAACTTCTGCTGTGGAGAGATGCCAAGGTCAGAGCATGATTGAAGAACCTCCTTCCTCTCCTGAAGTCGCTGTTACTGTATGATATTGTTTTCCACCGTAGAAGGTTCTCTTAAAAATGAGGTTGAGATCCCTAAAGAAATTGCTTCAATCAGCAACAGTGCTTAATGACTGTTAATGGGAAGTGGAGATAGGATAGTAAGTGTTACTTTGATTAATAAGAGAACTGCAGAGAATTTAAATTGTGCCACTGATGGATTATTTTCTTCAAGCTTGATAAGCGCTTCTCATTTGTTCTTAAATTTGGTCAATACTGTTAAAGACAGCAAAATGAAGTATAATTAATTCTATTACTGCTACTCAGACCCAGTGCTACTAGGAAACAGATTACATTGCAGACAACAATGTTAGGTAACACTTCTGATGGTTTTATCATACACAGCCTGGTCAGGGCTGTAAAGCAGAGAACCTCAGAACCATGCTGAGGAGCTGCCCAGCTCGCTGCCTGCCCTGGAACATGCCCATCTCTTTGTATCTGCCATGGACACACTTTCAGTGAAGGAAATAGCTGATTGTGAGGCACAGAGGCAAAACAGAGAGCTCCACTTGGTTCCTCCCTTGGTGCACACGTGAATTATCATGGTGCTTTTAAGCACACCTATCTGCGTTATGCAATGAATAGGGAAAATACGCTGAGAAATGCAGTTTGCTCAGAGGCCCTCTTGACACTTCTGAAGTCAGATTTTAGGAAAAGGCTCTCAGCAACTCACCTGTTCTGGTACCTTGGAATGGATCCAGGCTATGCCCAAAGGAGTTGGGAAGCTCTTCTGGACCCTCATTAGAGGTGGCTGCAATTAGCACTTAATTTTCCAGACTCTGCCTACTTCAAAGTCTATGCTTCTCCAATTCTGACTGCAGAAAGTCGTTGTGTGAGTGATGTCGAATTAATTTGAAATCAGAGCGTGTTGGCTAATAGTATAGTTATAAAATCAATGAAGGTCTAATTCTGTTATTAAAAATGTAAAGCTTATGTATTATGAATAAAGAGTTCATGCTCTTCCACGGGTATTCCATAAACATAATTTCTGAAAGTACTGGGAACACATAAAATGTATTTCAGGCATGAATTTGTGTGCAATGGTCTGATGGAGAGCAAGGATACATTAAAAGACTCTCAGGTTGAAAGGTCATGTTTAAAACTTAGAGGCACAGAACAAAAAGCAGTGACAATTCTCTTCCCTTGAACAGTCTCTGTTTATAGCTCTGCCTGCATTCCACGCAGCAAACAGCAACGGAACATCTTTCATTCACTTGACTTGTTTGCAAATCTTTGAGGGTGGCTCATGAGGAATGAGGTGGCCTGGCTGAATCCTCACTCCATTGATGCTTTTCTCAGGTAAGCAGGCTAAACCCTGACCCGAATAACTCACTGGGGACACCTTTTAATTTCATAGGAAGGGATGTCCAGGATGTCATGGGCCTCGCAAGTGTAGAGATGGCGCCCATCCTGTACAGAACAGTAGCAGTAAAGGGCTGATGGTCTTTGTCCTTAGGGCAGCTGCAGAGCTGCTGGACCCAGCACACACAGCGCGTGTGTGTGTGTTTGGAGGAGAGAAGCCCTGTGTATCACTAATCTTCCTACAGAAGCATTTTTTTTCTGGGAGAGCCAGCAACTTTTTGAAAGATGGCAGCTGGCTTCTTACATTGCCTCTAGCGCAGCAAAGACAAAGAAACTTTAAATCTTACACGTTATCTTTGTAGGAATAACAGAGATTTGGAGGCTAAATAAACATTTCTCTCTCCTCAGTTTCTCTGTTATTCCATTTTAGTGTCTGTCAGCTTGATACAAGCCCTCACATTTGTCTGTAGGTGCATTCTTTGTTTGTTGCTGCTCTTTTATTATGCAG